TCTGTTAACCCAATAAAATATTTTAAACATCATGTTGTTAGTCAGCGTTAATATTTATTCTTTTACATGAAACAATAAAATATTAAAAGTCACGTTTACATTTTTTGTAGTTTCCCTCAACTTTACTTGTTTGCATAACGAAAAAATCTATAAAAAATGTAGGAATTTAATTTTAAAAATAAAATATGGCTATTGAATTCAACACGTTGACACATATTGACTATACGAATAAATGTTCAGCATGTGTGCTAAAAATAAAAAATATATATTTAAACAATTCTCAACTGGGAATTGTACATTTTTCATGGCGACTTACTAAACTAATAGGCTCGACAAAAAAAAAAAACGAAACAAAACTGAAACAACAAATATCTAGAGTTATTTGTGTTTTTATTGCAATCCGTTGTTGAATTATTTTTTGCTTATATATTTTCACTTGCAAACTGGGCGTCCAAGAGCATAATGATTGATTATTTATGGACTTACAAAAAGTGGAATGTGAAATCTTTAACCCTGTATAACGATAACGACACACAGCACAGAAGAAACGCATTCTTTTATATATTGTACATTCTGTGGCTACTCCCGAACATTTTCACGTAGTCTACATAAAAAGTCAATTTCAGTTTTTGGGTCTGACACGATTTAATGGTGTCTGCGCTTCGCTGACAAATCGTGCACGAGGTCCGGAATGTCGCAGATGGAGTGGAGACCATGTCCATGTCGTTCATGTCGTGATAAACGTCAGTCATTCCGTCTGCCGGGGCTATCCTGCTCATTGCTGGGGTTTGATTTTGACGAAATCTAATCAAAACGACGATGACAAAATAAATTGCCAACAAATCAAAGACAAGAAATTGTAAAAAATACATGAAAAATAAGGACCGAGCTCAAGTCACACACATCAGAGGATATTGCGAGCATATCCGGTTTCTAGGCTGCCTAATGATAATGTTGACGATTATGTTGTTGTTGATGATAATGATGATGATGATGATATTTATGTTGGGGTCACTTTCCTGACACAATTAGCCTTAGCAGCTGGCGACTGTCGTTCGCTCCGTCGTCTGCTTAATGGCATTTAAAGCATTATAAATAAAATTTAATAAAAGTCAACTTTTGACTGCCGCTTAATTATAATTTAGTGCTCTGGCACGCGCCCGCCAAGCCGACAGGTGTAATTGTAATTACTCCGCACAGCCTCCACAGACTCCAGTGCGAACTCCACACGCACCGTTTTCATTGCAAGAAACGTCCATTTAAATGGCTTGATTAATGCCAGCAACAAACTGCCAACTGGAATAAAAAGTAAACAGCCAGCTGCACAGTGGAACGAAACAAATAATTTATTAAATTTCATATATCTTTTAAGGGAGGTACACACTTGCTTTCACTTTCTCGTTTTTATATATATAATTAATTTTTTTGCTATCAAACAACCCTTCATTTTATCCGATGCCTCGCATCAACCTTACTCACATTCTCGGTAGTTTTTAAATCATGTATTGCATAAAGCTCTGTGTAACCTGACTTTATTCAGCCTGGCAAACTAAGCAATGATAGTTTACCAATACTGGTTCCACTTTTTCTTTCACAGTCTGGTAACACTGTGCAGGCCACACTGTGCGGTGACCTAGTCGCTTTTGAGGGCGCCACCAACTAACCGACTCTTCTTCCGTTTTAAGTTTATTTATTTGGTCTTTATTTTTATGACTGGAGCCCGTGTAATTGACGCGGCGCGCGCTCGAAAGCGCATTTTGATAGTCGCATAGCAGCACTTGGGCACATAGGCAGGGCAGCTGAAGGGCTTGTGCAGACAGCCATAAAGTGCATGCTGCTTTTTTTCATGTTCAGCTTGTTTTTTATTTATTTAAAAAATATGCTGTATAAGTGTGTGTTTGTTGTGAATTCTCAGCTTTACTCATTTAAATTTTTAATTAAATTTAAAGTGCGGATGGTACGGTGCGCACTTATTATGTGCGTTTACGGAAATACGCAAAGTTGGCTTTTAAATAACATAACTTGACCAACAAAAATTAAAAAATAAGTATTAAATCAAATTAAATATATTGCAAGCCTAATTGAAGCAGCTGTCAATTGTTGAGAGATTTAATATTAAAATGTTGATCATTATGTGCTTTCCAGAATATGTTGCAAATTGAGAAATCATTTAAACGGAAAATGACAAATTTGCGAAACACTTGAACAAAATGCGAGTGGGAGCAAATCATATAGAAATACTAAAAAAAAAAATGCAATTAAAATAGTAATTAATAATAATTAATAATTTAATTTAATTTGATAAATCAACAGAATTTTAAGAAAATAATTTTGCCTTAAACATAAATATTTTTTGAAAGATCTCAATTTGTTGGAAATAAATTAATAAATAAACACAATTATAAACAAGAAATTGAGTCTTAAATCTAAATCAAATATAATATTCAAATTACAATTTTAAATTTTAAACTGTATTCCAATTTGTTGGCATAAATGTTGGAATAAACACACTGATTTCCATTAAGTTAGTGTGCATTGCACGTTTCGGAAGAGTTTTGAGCTGAATGCAGCCTATTGCTGTTTGGCGACGGCAATTGAAACGCCCACGTTATAAATCAGGATGGCAGCAAACCAAATAACAACGACAGCGACAGGAACAACTACAGCAGCAGCAGCAACAACAATGAGAACTAAGGCTGGAGAACATGGGGCATTCATTTGCATGCAACACGTTGCCGTCGTCGACACAAACGAGAAGCGGTGGTCGGTGGCGTATGAGCGACGTGCACAACGTGTCGCATGTCGCATGTCGCTTGTGCAGCAGTTTGTTGCAGTAGCAGATGCAGCAGGGCACAGTTGCCCGGCCAAAAAATATGCAGCTAACTAAACAAGACCGGCCAACGGGCAGCTGCTGTTGCTCTCTATGCATAACCAGGGCTGAGCAGGCTTACTATGATTACAAGCTTACAGGTACTAAATCGAAAGTGAAACTTATTCTTATTTGCATAGTACAGTGCAACGATTATTTAAGGTTTTCTACATCAATTTCCAATGAGTATTTAAATTTCTATATCTCTGAAATATGTTCTTTTAATTTTACTAATTTCCACTAATTTTTTTTTCAATTGGATTAAGTTCTATTCTTTTCTTTCGTGTTATTAAAATTCTCACACTCCATACTTTACAATTGTACTAAACTCTTCAGCCCTGGCCTGGAGTACTACACACCGTAATCTAATTTGTGATATTGCCAGACGACAGTGGATAGGTAGCCCGGTCTATGTGAATGCGTAACAGTTGGAGTTGACAGCTAAAACGGAGACGACGGCTAACAGCGAGACCATGACCAAGAGAACCGGATATGATGAGTGGTAGTTGCAACTCATTCGGTTGACCCATTCGAAAACACGTTTTGAATGCTGTACAGAACCAGAGTTATACATGAGTTGGTTAATTTAAAGCCAGGCAGAAGCACTGCCTATTGATTGAAGCGGGCCACAGCAAGCCCCAGTTTTAGAGGCAAAGTCCTTAGCCTGACGGCGGGCAGATCTAATGTGAAATTAAATTTTAATGTGCCTGGCGCACGAGCTGTACTCTTAAATTAATTCGCTGCTCGACTCTATCATTGTGCGAGCGCATGAGATACGCTCAAAATGTACGGGGTGGCACTTGTAATTGCAGCAATGTTGCACTTACGTGTGCACCGCGTTTCACTTGCTGTGAATCATGAGCTGAATTTATTAGATACCAACAGACAACTCAACGTTGCTTTAGTTAGTTAGTTAGTCCACAAAACCCACACAACACTTAAATGCACTGCGAACTGTTGACCTTCTGTTGTGGATGGGCGTGTGTATGCACATACAGAGTGTTTGTGTGTGTTTGCTTGCATCTGACACGAGCACACTTCAATTTGTTTACTGTCAACGGGCAGCTCGAAAAGAAGCCACTCAGCCATTCAGTCAAGTCTCCTGCGGCAACAATCACAACTATTTCAATCTCCAATGGAGAATTTATATAAAATCACATTTGAAAACATTTAAACGAAATAAGATTAAATTCAAATCAATGAAAATATGTGATAATTGATTCTGTTTTTCTTTTTTTCAAACAACGTTTTTAATTAAATGCTCAAGAAAGCTTTAACATAAAGCCCTACAAAATTCAGAAAATCAACTCAATCGAATAGTTAGGCTCAACACCTAATTCCTCACTTAATTATGTAAATTAACTTTAAGAGCTCTTCAAAACTTTAATATAAAACTTCTACATAAGATTGTTAACTTTAGGTCAAAGCATTTTGATGCCAAATCGTTGGGCAATGCCCCCCGCGCAGTTATCACAATGTGCTCTCATATCTCAGTCCCACCTACCACAGTTACATTTCGGATTACAGCTAACACATTACACGTAGATATATTTTAGTTGCCAACTCACCGTCAGAAGTTCATGTGTGGCTTTGCCTTCTAATGAGAAAACTGCATTGCTCTGGGTCTCTGCTCTCTGCTGTATCTTATCAGCTACATTTTCCCCCTTTGCCACGGCATGAGGGTATGTGTGTGTGTGTGTATGTGCTTTCTCTTACACTTTTACTTAATGGCATTGCTTATTGCATTTTATGCTTAACTTTTGCTTTCTCATAGAGACTTAGAGAGAGGTGAGCTAAGCCTCAAGCTCATTACGGTGATGACAAATCAGTTTTCTTGTCAAACACAAACTTGATGTCAAGTTTGCGGATGGCATTTTCCAATTTCATACTCAGCATTTGGATTACTTTTCGGAATCCCCTGTGCAAACGTGCGAGGATTTCTTTTGAAATAGTATTTTAGATCGTTTCAAAAATGTCTCCAAATTCTGACAGGTGCTCACAGTTTTAATTAGAGTTGGGCTTACTAGAAGTAGAGGTTAACTATCTCTCCGATATATCTAAAATCTCTCTCCGATATCTGAGTATATGATAAATATTGGTATATACTCTGGACCCACTCACAACACACAGCTTTATTCTGCCCATAAGGGTGGTTGAGGGTGTTTTATTAACATCTGGACAAACAGTAATCTATTGCTGAATGACAGTTAAGTAAAGTTGCCCGAGCAAATAATGTTGCCTGGAATCAGCTCCAATCTAATTGAATGGACGAACATTTCATTTTATTCCATTTCATTTCGTTGTTGTTGTTGGTATTTTCCACTGGTTTTTCCTTCTTTTTAACGTGGCTTTTATGCGCATTCAAATGATTTTAATGACAGCAATTTGTGTCTCGAAATCGCGCAACATTAGCTTTTGGCTCGTCGAGATATCTTTGCGGCCTAGGCTGACAAGTGTGGGTAACATGGGGGAGGGTGTTAAATGAATGTGTTTATAACGCTTAACTTTGAAATTAAGGCCGCGTTCCCAGGCAACATGCGGAAGTTTCGATTTGTCAGTGGGTCACCCGAGGGCCTTTGAAAATGACGCGACTCGCGTCTCACGTCTCGCAAAGGATAAGCCGCAGAGCGAGAGCATGTCGGACACACGCTCCCGTTTCCGTTGCCGTTCCCGCTTCCACTGCCTGTCCCTCTCGCACTGCCAAGCAGCTGGGCGATAGTCACAGGCAGACAGTCTGTCCGTTACGTCATTATCAACGCCGCGGCTCATCATGGGCAACGTCATCGTTTTGGCCAGCAACAAATTCATTTAGACACAACAAAGTTGGCCAACAGCAAAGCATGACAGCGTCCCCCGTGGCAACCCGTATCCATGTCCAAGCCCCGCTCCCCCCCTTTTGCAACGTTCGTCGGCATCATCGTCGGCCAAGTGTTAACTGAAATGTGGGTTAGTGGCGTGTGGCATGGCGCTCAGTTTAGTTGAAAGAAATGTTTGTGATTTCTCGTGGCATGCTACACAAAATTATCACACGAAGATTTTGATTGATGAGACTTTTGGCTGCTGCCGGCTGTCGGCTGCCGCCTTCCAACACACACCCACACAACCACACACACACACACACACACGTACATCCTACACCCGTTGTCGTTTCGCGTGGGCGTTTTAACCAAACGCTTCAATCGCGGCCAGCTCGAGTTGATGCGACCAAAAGCCGCGGGCTTTGATTAGTTTTTCGGGCTCACGTACGCGCCATTTCAGGCCGCTTTGTTGTCCTTTGAATGCCTGTGAAACGATGCTGTTTATTATCAGAACTGATTTAGCGTTTAATGTAATATAATCGGGAACAAATATAATACTAAATATATAAATCGGGATAACATTTGCTGGCTTACTAAATCTAAAGAATAATTGAAAATATATATTCAACTATTTAGAAACTCACAATCAAAAAATTAATAAGCAAATAAAATAAATTGCTTTCAAAATGAATTTTAAGCAGATTAACATATTCACCTCTTCAGTCTCTGCTGAATACCCTATAGCCTAAATTTAAAATGCACATAAATTTGTTAAATTTTGTTCTTAACCAATAGAATGATTTGCTTAATGGGCGTAAATATATGACAATACCTTGCTTTTATAGTCAATCCTGCAAAGTCACAAAACTGAGAAATAATCAAGGTATTAAGATTACAAAATTCATAGACTCTGGCGGGCGATAATTTTTGAGTGTTTCGAAATCCATAACTTAACCGAAATTACGACATAAATAAATGAAAATTTTGCAGACGCCCCACAGACACCAAAGCCTGTACGCATTGTGGCTGTGGCTGTTGCTGTTTGTATTGCAACAACAATAACAACTTATCACACAGCTGGCAGTCATAAAAGAGCCGTAAAAAAATTATCCACATGGCTTGCAACATCAGCACAAATTGCAGCAAACCAGAAAGAAACAACCTGCAACTTATCCGAAAAAAAAAACACCAAAACAAAAAAAAAAAAACCAACACAAGATCTTGGCCGGCAAAAACTACTTTAAATTTTGCTGTAAGTGTTTCTTTGCCTTTTTCAACATGTGCTAGACAGGCCCGACAACAACAATAGGGCCTAAAAGTCTGTATAACGTCTGTTTTTTCTGATTTAATATGGGAAAATTGTTGGGTGGTGCTGACCAAAAAAAGCAAACCAAATGAAAGCAAACTGAAATCTGTGGCCAGGGCTGCGAGAGGGCGAGGTGGAGTAGGAGCCTCACGTGAACAACATAATCGCACATTTAAGCGGCTGGCAACATTTGGCCGAAACACCCGCCACCACATACCCACCCCTCTGGCCATAGTTATCTTAGCTGATGTCGTTGCCCCGCAAGTGGAGAGCACCACGCGGTTGGGCCAGTGTGGCAACAAGTGTGGACAGAGGGGCTGTGGATGTTGCTGGAGACATAATAGCCAGCTCTGTGTATGACGCCAAAAGCATTCGAGCTGTTTACCTAAATATGAAAAACAAGTAGAAAGAAAACAAACTGTCCGGCAAGCGATGTAGCTCTTATATAACTTTTTAATATATTCAGAAATAACAAGAATTTGTAGCTATTAGATGGAAATCTTAGAGGTCTTATGCAAGTTTTAAGGGCAATTAACTTAGAGCTCACATGGGCCAAGAAAGGATAGTTTGTTCTTTTTTCTGTGGCAATATATAAAGACAATATTTAAAAAATTTTTAAAGAATCTTTTTGTACGTCAGCCCAAATGTTTCCCTTGTATCATGATATTTTGTTTATTTTGAATAAATTTTTAAGGTAAATTAATATGGTTTATTATGTTATTTATTGTTGCATATCTTCAACATTTTTTCAAATACCCATTTGTTTCAAATTTATATACATCAATTTAAAATTTTATTTATTGTTGCATGCCTTCAAATTGCCAGTTTCATTTCATGTTTTCTGAAATTGTTAAATATCACAAAAATGCTATTTGAATAAAAATCAAATAAATTGACGTACAAAACAGACAAAAAACTTCACTTTCTGATGGTTTAAAGTCATAAACAATATTTTTGTACCAACAATATTTTTCCGTAATTACTCTTGACATTTAGCATTTTATATTCGTGCGTTTGTTTTCGTATTTGTTGCTTTAAAGTTTGTGTTGCATTCAAGTATAACTGAAAGTTTTGCCATGTCAAAGTTGTGGGCAATTAGTGAGCAACATTTAAAGTTGCCGTCCAGCAGCAGAGAAAGAGAGCGCCTCCCTTGGGCTATTTGAGTACCTGATATGACAAATCACAAAGCTCTGGCATATTATTAGAGGCTCCAACACTTGCCGGCTTTACAGCTTGTCTGGCCAAAATATGCTAAGAGCGTCAAGACGGTGGCTGATGCTGCTGCCTACACACTTAATGAACGCACCTTGTTGCGAGCTCTTTAGTATGCAAAATTTCCAAGGCTGTTGCATTAATTAATTCACACGGATACTGGGTGGAGCCGTTGCGTCTACCCAGCAATTGTATAATTAGTGCTCTCTCTATCCTTGTCTCTCCCCCTCTCTGTCTATCACCATTTCCAGCTCTTGCACTCTGGCAATTGAGCACAATTTTCCACTCCCTAGTTAAACAAACGCCCACTGGCTGAGCATCTCAGTTGAATTTGTCAGTTTTAGTTGGCGCACAACACGAAGGTGTTCAATTACACAAAGTACAATAACAACAACAAACAAGGTGCAGAAAACGTCAAAAGCATTTGTAGAAATATTTTCCACAATAAAATACTTAGCTCGAGGCGTGGCCGTCGTGCCCAAAATACAGAAAATTGTTCATTGATGAAGCTAACTTTGGCCTGTGGCATTGGCCGAGCTTTAAATGGAAATGGGCTCGGATCGTTTGTGTTTGTGTCATTTGAGAAATGTATTTTCAAGCACAATTGACTTGGGGCCGAACGCCTTGATAAGCGAAATACTAACTTGCTATAAAAAGATTTCGTCCTTGAATTCATGCAAATGGTATTGGGTTTCCATTTCTGTGCCTGTATGCTTCTCTTGTAATATTTAATGTCTGTCTACAAACATTAGCCATTTAATTTATAAATTCTGTATTGCTCTGCGTTCGTTAATATTTTACTGGCTGCGCTATAAATACCTGTGTTGAGCTATTCTTATACCTTACCTCGTACAGTATTTGTTGCTTGATTTTCGTAAACTTATCACTGTGCAGATAATAAATAGCGAGAGATTTTCTTGACGTTCCTTTTTCGAGATCGCATTTAATTCTCTCTTTTACTTTCTTTTTCGTGATCGTTTTGCTGGACTGAAAACCGAGAGATGTTCTTGAATATAATCTCTTTAGAGTAAGTTCTACTTTGTTATTCCCCTTTTATTGTCGTTCATAAAAGTTTCACTGGGCAGATAAAATATAGCAAGAAAATTTCCTGCTTTTAATTTTCTCTTCTTTAATTATTATTATTCGTAAACGTTTGTCTGTGCAGATAATATACAGTCAGGACTTTTTCGCCTTCACTCTGGTTAGAGCGCCCTTTACCTTATCGTTCGTAAACGTTTCACTGGCAGCTGTTGCATATGCTCCATTTTGTTGTTGTTGTTTGTATGTAGTATGGATGTTTTGCCTTTAATGCTGCATACCTTAACGTTTCACTGGCAGCATGACCCTATTAAAAAGACAAACAACTCAAATTTCTTAAAATTATCTTGATATACATGCAAATAAGCACATTGCAACATATGCTAATCGCAGCCACGAGCAATGCGACTTTTGAGGGCGTTGTCACGCCTCTCGTTGCCGGTTGCAGTCAAATTACGGCCAAAGCCAAATGCAAAATTGTTGACGGTTAATGATGACGCCCCAGCAATGACTGCCAAAGAAAACAAAACGAGACATATGCCCTACTCATACTCGTATACGCATACTCATATTCATATTCGTACTCCCACTCATACTCGTACTCATATTCGTGGCACTCACGGATGACCTTATGCGCTGGCGTCTTTGGCAATCGCGTTGGTTGAGAGAGGCGCGCGCGTGCCTAAGTAATGAGGTCCAAAGAACAAGTCAACGGCAATTAGAAGAAGCCAAAAAAAAAAAGAAGAAGGAAGAAAAAGCGATGTCGACGCCAAGTCTCAATGAGTTGGTTCCTTTTTTCAGCGATGCCAACAAAAGGGGCGTAAAGGAGGCGTGTGTGTGTGTGTGGCACGAGTTGCAGCTAAAGGTTAAACATTCAATTAAGTGTAGTGCAGCAGCAGCAGTAGGAGCAGGAGCTAGGAGAGTAGCTGGAGGGTGAGCTGGCGATTGAGTGGGGCAGCTAAGAAGGCAACTTTATTGCAGTTGAAACGGCGCAAAAGAAAAGTGAAAACTGAATGAAAAACTGACCAAAGTAATAAAACGAAACGTATAGAAATGAAATGAAACGGAAGTGAAACCCAACGGCTGCCAAGTAAATAGACAAACAACTGGCAACAAGCCGAGCGACGAGCAACTTTTCCACATGCCGTTACGCTTAGCCAGCTGCATGTGCGAGTGTGTGTGTGTGATTGTGTGTGTGCGTGTGTTGACGCTAGTTAAAGTTTATCAAAGCTACAATAAGAACAGCAACAGCAACAGGAAACTGGCAACAGCCACACGGCAGCAACAGGGAACAGCAGCAAAGTTTGCGCTCGCAAGCAACTTGGCATCGTCCTGGCCTGGCATCAGCTCCGGCTTCTGCTCCGACTCCGGCTCCTGGGCTAGCGGCTGCTCCTGTTGTTCGCAGTGCTTAAGTCGTAAGTCCTCTTTTGGAGTTTTTGACTTCTCAAGTTCAGTTGCGCGCGCCCCGACTAAAGCCAAGCTATATATATATTAAGCAAAGAAAACGGGCACACACGCCAAAACTCCACTGCTCTCGCACTTCCAGCTTCTTCCCCTCTCTCTCTATTTCTCTTTGTTTTTCAGCTATCGTTATTTAACTCAGTTTATTTGATTCCTGGCAGGACACAGACGCACTCTCACATATTTCTTACTTAATTCTCCAACTGCATACATATTTCCATCCGCCAACTTTCGCTCCAGATTGTCCCATAAACTTGCCAATGAATTGAAAGGTGTTTGTGTATAGCTCGACACATATGTTCTAGCCTATTAACTGCTAAATATAATGTAAGTATCTGCTCTGCTGTTAAACATAATAAACTTAAGAACAGAGTTTCTGAAGAAACTTTTGAAGTTAGCCAAGAAAAGAAAAGTTTAAAAGTTGCCATCTTTATGAACATGAAAATAGTTTGAGGTAAAATATTGTTTAATTTTAAGAAATCGATTCGACAAAACACCTAAAGAAATCATAAAACGTATTTTAGAAAGAATAGGTGAAAGTTCTTTTAAAATAATGGTGATTATATCTTAAGCTCATTTTGAACAATTTTCTTTCTGATAGTTATGACAATTGCTGGAATTAAAGAGGAAAACTGAAAAACTGTTTCAAAGTCAATTTATGTTTTTTTTTTCGTTCAGTTTTTTGTTTAATCTCCCTGCAACGCCATAAATAGGAAAACATTTTTTCACATACCGCCTCACTATGCGATTCCCATGATAACAAGTGTTATTATTATCTATGTTAGCATT